TATGCTGTTCTGCTGCTAAGCTCTGCCTGGTGGAAGCAAACTTTGGTTCAGGCTTGCCTCAGCTGGCTCGTCCCCTTTGCTTGGACCAGTTTAAATGCTTACAAGATTTGTGCTGGGAGATTGCCTGGCTGTGAGATCCTGGCTATAATTTGGCTCCAGCGAGAAAGCTGAACAGTTAATTCTTGCTGTGTTAGCTGAAAGGCTTCCAATTATTTTTGCCAACCTGTCCAGTGTTTGTTTGGCTGGAGCCATGTTCAGCCATTCTTGCTTGTATTCTTGGACAGTTTGGGGTTAGAGCTACTTTTGAGCAAAGAATATTTTGTTTGAAGATGAGAGGGTAAGTAAAGCCCTTGGACTGCATGAAAGAGCAGGGGGAAACTAATGCTGAGCAAGTGACACTTAAGTCTTTAAAGGTGGAATTTTTTAGGGCTATATATCTCTCTGCAGCTTGTTTCCGTGGTTTAGCATAGCACAGGTATTCTGTGAATTGAGTTTTTCCTTACATACCAGTTTTGATGATTTTCCAAAGGCTAAGAGTAATATCAGAGTTATTGTGAGCTTCCCACATGAGGACGGTGATTGTGTGCTACCCAGAAGTAATTTTTCTTTTAAAATATACAAGATACCTAAACCAGAAACTTCATTGTTTAGCAGCACTGAGATGCAAGCTGTGGGATCAGTACACACCTGTGCAGTGAGATCACACTTTGCAGATTTCTCAATTAGTAACGCAGCAGCCACAGAAATGGGATTATTAATATTAAAAGTTATTGTTTTAAGAGTCGTGTACATGCATATGGAAATCTTAGACCTTATTCTTCATGTATTGTGCATGTTATATGAAATGGCTGATTTTTATTTCATTGAATACAGAGAACAATTTATTAGTTTCTACTGCTTACCTTTTTGTGCACAACTTATTTGGTGTTTGTTAAGTCTTTGAGCTCTGTAATCTGCCCCCTTTTTTGGTCTTTATCAGGTAAATTCTGAAATATTTTTTTGAGTGTTGATTTAAAAAAAAGAATCTTAGTTTTGTTGATTTTTCCTTCATCTGTAGTTTTTAGTTTGTTTACGTGTAACTGTAAATTAAAGAGGCACAATCCATTCAATATGAGATTTTATGATTTGCCTATGTGAAAATATTCTTCTAAGCATTATGTAGTTAACTCTTACGAAAGCACACTAAATTAAAATAATACCTTATAAACGTAACAGACTAAAAAGTTTAATTAAAAAGTATTATAATATGGTTGAATTACTTATGGGTTCAGCATGCAGCACTCTGTTTTAAAATGCTAATAGAGTAAACATTTTTGAGATTAATTACATTTCTTTGATTGCATCTGCGTTTCATTGCAACTTAGTATGTTTTAGATACCTAGTTATTTGTTACAAAGGACTGTGTAAGGATTGGCTGCAAGCACAGGTTCAAGCTGCTGTCTCATCTGGTGTCTTTATACTTAATCTAACTCCTGGGAATTATGTGTGTTTAAAATATGGAGAGAAGAGGTCCAACTTCTGAGTTCTAAACAGTGGAAACTCTGCAGTGAAGTATTGACTCTCTGCTGAGTTGTGTGAAGTGCTTTTCTGTCTTATTGTGTGTGAGGAATCAGGCCTTTCCAGGCTGTCATGTGGGTGTAGCAAACCTTTGGGTGAAGGAAATACGTGTGAAGTCTGTAGAGCCCATTCTAGTATCACTTTAAAAAATAAGTGGCCCTCTGTTATGAAGAGGGCCTCTCTTATGAAGAGGGCCACGTGGTAGTATTTTTCAGCACTGACCATGGACTGCTTGAAGAAGGATCTGTAGATGCCAAACTTGGTCATCTCTGCTGGCTGCAACTGTTGTTGCACAGAAAGCTGGTGCCCAGGACCCTGGGAGATTTGAAGCAAGGGAGCTCTGATACCAGCCACAGGGCAGAGGAAGAGAGGCCACATGGAAAGTGAGGAAGGGTCAGGTATGCAGTCAGTTCCATAACTGTAAAGGCTATGTAAACAGAAGTACCATAGCAATAAAAAACCTTACACTCACAGCTGTATGGAATTGAGCTTCTGAAACTTCACTGTATATACTACAGCTTTGGTTTAGAGGGGATTTATAGCAGCTGAAACTCAGTCCTGATAGCAATGTTGTGTGGGTTGGTGCCTGTCTGGGTATCATGCTTGTCAGTTTAATTAGCCTGGATATCCCTTTCAGACTGCTTCTTCCTGCCAATTTAATTCACACCAAAAAAAAAGGAATAGGGCAGGAGTCCAGAGACATGTCTGAGCTTTTCAGACAGAGAAAACATTCAAAAGCATCTGAAATTTAACTTTGTGCTGTTTGTGGAGAGCAGATCCTACTTCTAACCATCACATTGTAAATATATTGTTGTTTACTGTCAGAATTGAGTTTCCTGTTTGTTTCGTGAACTGAATTTTTTGGTGTCTGAAATATGTTGTTTGGTCAGAAAATGACATTAAATTCACTAGTTTTCATAGTTTCCAAATTGCATCCAGGTGTTTTTCTTATGGTTGAATTAATCGTGCTGTGCATATATGTCACTGGCAAGTACACAAGTGCAATGTTTCTCCTCGCTATACTAATCAGCCTTCATCATCCAGTAATGAGGTTAAATGTGAGTTTCCATTTTAAGAAATAATCAGCATATTTCTGCCATGCATACTTCAGAATATTATTGAATATGTTTGCCCAATTTTTTGCAATAGTTTTTGCCTACTTTCTCTGGGTAGAGGGGAAATTTGGAAGTGGCCTAAGCCTGATGAAGAAAGCATATAAAAATAACAAAAAAATGCTCCAAAACATTTTCCATATCCAACACACATCTATTCTGTATTCATTATCTTATTGAACATTACAGCTGTCTTCCTGTTGTATAGGGTTGCTTTAAACCAGTAAGTATTACCAGCCTAACTGGCTGTGTGTTATACAAGCTGAGTTCTAAATGCATGAGATCTACCACATGCTGTTGTAGGGAGTCCCTTTAATTGTCCTTGTTACATTTTCTCTGATATTGCTGTTGAAATTCACAGAGGAGCTGATTGCGCTGTGTGTGTTTGTGCACATTGTGATGTTTGCCTCCTGATACAGTGAAGTTTTTTTCTGACTGGTCCCCGCTAGATGACCTTAAAACAAATACTCCATCTGCAGCTGGGAGCATTAGTTTTTGATGAAGAAGCAAACCATAGAAGGCAGTGAGAGTCAGGAAGATGCTGTGTGTAGCTCCTTTCACTGTTTCTGTCAGTATTCTGTCCTTTAATTTTTTGAAATTATACATATGTAGAATCTGCAAGTGTAAGTGTAGTAAGTGCAGAATGAGGATGCTGACGTCATTTGTATGTGCTTTGCTACAGATGTTACAGTGCTCTGAGAAATTACAGCTTTGCAAAATAAGTTATGTTGCTTTTCTTGGAATAATATAGTTTGTGAGAGAAACTAACATGCCATTTTCCCTTTTCATCACTTTGTACCCTAGTGTTTCAAGACAAAAACTTTGTGCCAGCTTTGTATAAGTGGATACACTTTTAATTCATTGCTGCTTGCCCATATTTTTGATGTGGATAGATGGCTGTTAACTGTCTGGATTTGCACCCAGGTCACTGTTAGGATGATTCCACATAAACTGAGGCAAGCTGGATTCTTGACGTTTTCACTGCTTGTTTTTTTTAATTATGGCAGGTGACTGAAAGCCTGTCTTTGTTACTGTTCCTTGTTTATCATCTCTCGGGGAAGAAAGTATAAAATGTTAAGATAAGCGCTGGTTATTGTTAAGAGGTTTAGGAGAGTGAAGGTTTTGTTACTGGAAAAGTAAGGGAGTTTTAGAACTGTATTTTGCATAGTTAGAAACACCTTTACATGATACATCTAACTTTGGAGATAAACGACTACATCTTAATGGTACTGGGTGCGTGTTTATTCTTCCTGGGAAGTGTGAAACCTCTCTGAGTGCTACAACTATTTTAATTCATGTTAACCTTGCCTGGAGAGGTAATTATTGTGTATCTTGCAGCCCAATTTAATGGAAATGAGGAACGGCAAGCACCTTCTTGTCCCTCAAATGACCAGCGCAGGCAGTTAAGAACACCTGGAGGAGGCTTTAAACCCATCAAACATGGCAGTCCAGAATTTTGTGGGATCCTGGGAGAGAGAATAGATCCAACTATTCAACTGGAAAAGCAGATGTAAGTAAGCAAGCACAGTAATTGCTGTCTAGCTCTTTGCCTCCCCACTTACAGGAGCAGCAAGTGTCCCAGATCCTCCTGTCCAGCTCCTCTTCCTCAGTATCCCCTGTGTTAGCGCTCACAAAAAACTATTCTTATTATCCTGCAAAGTGTAAGTAACTTTTGTGGGGGACAAACCAGAGTTAAACAGGAAACTCATCTCAGGAACAGTGAATTTTATCAGCTGAGTATATGCAGTTATTCCACTTTCAACCATGTTGATTACATTGCATTAGGGAAAATGGGTGTATATCACATATATACAAATTGTGCTTTAAAACTGCACAAATTCCATGTATTTGTGGCTGCATAGCATGTGTCTAGTACCTCAGATGTGCCTTGCATCTGGCTGTAATACTGCTCCAGGAAGAGACTGATAAGACCACTTATAAAGCTTTCACAGAGCAGTTATTTCACAGAGCTGTTATTTCCAACCCTGACCATTCTGTGATTCTGTGATTCTACTCTGGTGGTGTCAAACTTGAGGGTGGTATTTAGAGGCAGTTTTGTCAGCTCCAAACTCAAGTTCTGGGGGAATTCCCTGGACTGAATGTCTGGTATCCATGAGGGTGGCCTCTGTCCTGCCTCATTATTACCCTTCTTTGAACCATTTGGACAGGCTGGCTTGTGTGATGGAATGACCCACTGTCCTGTATCATGCCAAAGGTCCAGCCTTATAGAAGGGGCCAGAATTCCCTGTTACACAAAGAAAGAAAAGACCTCTTGTGGAGCAATTTACACATATATTTGTGAGCACTGAGAAGCCAATGGATTCATAGAGTAAAGTGAGGAAGCTGTGTCTTGAATTCCTGATGGCGGTCCCACTCCAGATACCATCATTCTAAGTTAGATGCAAAATTTATTTTTACAGGAGAGGGAGGGCATAATTTAGCATGGATGTGAGTGTGCTTTTTGTGCGAATACTTTGTTCCAGAGTGGTAGCGTTATTGAGTGGATTAGCAATCCTTTCACATTTCAGATCCTCAGTAGGAGAGAATCCCCTCTGTCAATCACATCTAAGAGAAGGTATTTCCAGAAGTTCCTTTTCCTTTGACACTCTATTTTTACATGCAATATTTAGAAACTTAAGCTTGAAACAAAGAATAACATCAACTGCATGGTGTCGTATTCCATCCAAAAAACCTCAGCCTTTGACCCATCTGCTCATTGGCAAATTGTAGACTTATCTTTAACAGGGGAAGTAGCAACCACTATTGTGAAATCACTCACTGATACTGTTTGGCAAATGACTAGAAGGCTATAAATTTGACTGTAAAATTTGGTGCTCAGATATGGGTAGTTCCAGCCCACCATACCTCCAAAAAATACATTTAAAATACTGCAGGAGGTTGAACATATATTAATTAAATTTTGACTCAGAAATATATTGTGTAGTTCTCTCTTTTGGTATAAATGCAGTTGTATATAACTGCAGTTGATAATAACTGAAAACTGCAGTGCTGGTTTTGCTTCCTTTAATTATTCATGTGTTAATCCCATGAGATTCTTTTTGATTTGTCATGATGCAGGATCAAACCTGAAATGAATGCACAGTTAACAATAATGTGTCAGAAAATGGATAAGTTTAGATTTATTGTACCTTAGATTATTTGTAATAATTCAAACTGCTCAAGTTTTAGTAGCGCGAGACCTCTCCAAAACACGTGCCAAACCATTCTGTCTTTCTCTACAAAAATGGAGATCTAGAGAAAAAGAACCATGCAAGTTTACAAGTGGATAGGTAGGTTAAGAAGTTTCCCAAACAGACAGAAATACCAAGGTGTGATAATATATCAAGAAAATATTTTTAGTTGCTTGTGATTAAGGAATCTGTAACTATGAACTTAGTAACTCGTGGACCCAGGGGAACTGAATGAATTTGTTCCATTTCCTCAGTAACAGTGAAAAGAAAAAAAAGTGTGTTCTGTTGCTTCTGCTCTCTTATTGAAAGTGAATCCCTCCCAGCCTTCTATGCAAGGTCTTGTGACTTCCCATTTTGCTCTGACCAATTCAGAAACAGAGTAGTGTTGTGCATTATATGAGCTCTAATAACTGATTATACTTACTGTATAATTGATGCAGCTGTCCTGTCTTCAGTGGAGCTGTGGCCACTTAGTGGCTGAAACCTGACCACTGAGAAAGTAAGGGACATCAGGAAGAATGTTCTATAAACCACAATCAGGGTGCTTTCAGTCCTGGGAGGAAATCCTGATAAAGGTCAAATGTGTGATTATGTTTGAATTTTGCTTTCACGTTTGCGTTGTGTGACTATGTTTTCCAGACTATCTTAGAAGACATGCATGTCTTCAAGTTTTTATGTTCCATGCTTTTGTATTGGTATCTTTTTCAAGTCGTTTTCACTATTTTGTGATCACATCATTGACATTTGAATCTTTGACCTTTCTAAACAAAGACGTATGTGTTGTTATTTAAAAAATGGACACACCCAGGGCAAACAGACCCAATACAGTTGAAACAGCAAATTAGTCAGGAACTTCAAGCTGATTATACCACCATGCTTGTCTTGCTAGCTAGCTGGAACAGAACATCTGAGTGCCCCATTCACATGGGCATATGATTCACAAGCAGTTACACTTGTGGATCATACACATATGATTCACAAACAAGTTACACTTGTTTACTCTCAGCTGTAGGCAAAACAGCTTCCAGTCATCACTTCTGAATCAGATGTTCTCCCATCAGCAGTTGTCTTCATACTTCACTGTGTTTCTTCCAACTATTTTAAAAGCAGGTTTTGCTTCCTGGAACCAGCCCTGCATTCTTTTTCCATGAACCTGTCTGCCAGCTGGGGAACACCAGATCTGAAGAATATATTAAATACTTACCCTGGACTCTGATATTCAGAGGGATCTCCCTGGTTTTGGCTATTTAATTTGGTTTTATTTGGCCTTTTGGGGACAAAAGAAAGAAAAAATATTTATAGCTAGTAGGAATAATTTCTAGACTCTCCCAAATCCATTTGCTGATTTATGCTTTGTGTTAATATTCTTCCCTTCAGCGGTAAATATCTAATGGGAGATAGGGAGAACCCTGCCTGAAAACATTTGCATCTGTGTCTCCATTTTACTTGTGAAATGATGGAGCTGTCAGGGCCTCCCTTTCTAGTCTGTCTTGAATATACAATAGTATAACCCTCTGTTTATGTTTCTCTAATGCAGACTTTGGTTGTAACAGGCATAAAATGAATTTTTAATTTGAGCACGAACTTTTGTTTAGCATATTCATCAGATTTGACAGTCGAGCTGACATCAGCACAAATTAGTTAAAAGTATGACTTCTGTCAAAAGGATCTGTCTAGCCTTTATTCACTTACTTTTTAGTTGGAACATCTCACTTAGAGTGAGTTCAGCAGAGAAATAAAATTAGAACAAATGGAAGAATACTTTTTTGCATAAGGCCAGTGACAGTTCCTGGTAATAACAGACACTTCTGATGATGTGATACCCTGCTTAGGCAGGTGTAGTAGCATCACATCACGCTTCAAAGCGCATCTGGCAATTGCAGGAAGGGAGAGATCTTCCTCAGAGATGTAACTGACGCAGTGCAGGTCCAAGCATATTATATTGCTCGGGAAACCCTGGGGGAAGGATCAAAGCATTTACTACTAGACTGTGAGATTTTAATTGCTGATACAAAGCAGCATGTGCTGAGCAGGCTCTTTGATTGTAGTGGTCAGTTTAGTGAAGGACCCACCTCTCTTCTCCCCATTTCTTTTCTTACTTCAATTGATCATACGCACTTCACAGGTCCACCAGAGATTTACTTAAACCACTCTGAGTTGTCACAGTTGTGTTTAGAACAACTGTCTTTGTTATAGATCTTCATACTTTATCACTTTTCTCCTTTCTTAAAGGTTTATTTTAGCAAAATTTTTCCACTATTAACTGTCCATGTTAAGATGTGATTTTCTTTTTGTTAGCTTTTGTTAATTTTATTTTTGGTTTTCTGTATATAAGTTGAAATACTGATATATCACAGGGATGAAATAAATATATATGTTGTGGATCTACTGCTTGCAAGATAGAGATTATAATGTATTGCTCTGAGTAGGAATTTCTTACACAAATATATCCACCAATCCTGTTGCACGCTCTCTTGATCTAAGTTTTTCCTTCAGGTGACAGGAACTACAGGCCTCCAAGTTGTAAAGTTAGCTTCAGATAATGCAAGCAGCGTGGTTTTCATCCACAATATGTTAGATTTTAAAGATATTCATGGAATACTAACCATTATTGATAGCTTGAAGAAACAAAGTTGTGAAAAGAATATGAGATGGAATATGTGTGTGTATTAATCTCTCTGCTTTTTCCTAGATGGTATCACGGACCAATCAGTCGGACAGATGCAGAAAACCTGTTACGTTTATGTAAAGAGTGTAGCTACCTTGTAAGAAATAGTCAAACAAGCAAGCATGACTATTCTCTTTCACTGAAGTAAGTACTTGTCAGTAAAGTGTAATAAATGTAATTTATAAACCATAGCTTCTATGGTGCAAGAAAAGACAACGATCCAGTCCGTTGCTGCATTGATTCAGTTCAGAAGGGCACTCAGAGAGAGAGTTTCACTGGCAGTCTGCATGGTGTATAGTGACAGTCACTGAATTAGGACCTTGCAATTAGGGGATGTTAAAAGATTTTTAGTCTTCATTTGGTGCCCATTTAACTAAATAAACTTGGTTTGTTGGTGTTTTTTTTTTCTGCTTCTAATTTGAAATGCTCCTGCTGCTTCTGCTTCAGGCTGAATAAACAATTGTATCATTTGGGGATTTCATTTCTTTTGCTTCATACATGGAAGAAAGGCTTCCTGTGGTTTACTGTTGTAGAGATGTACAGTATTACTACAACTCTTGAAAGTAAAAAGCCCAGGATCAAGGATGAATTCCTAATCAGAATTAGGAAGTGAGCATTGTTCCAGTCTTAGTGCTGCTTTGAACTTGCCCCACCTACCTTAGGCTGATCAGTGTACATTACAGTTGTTGGTGTCAACATATCATAGAACAGAATCATTGAATGGTTTGGGTTGGAAGGGACCTTCAAAGATGATCTAGTCCAACCTTCCTGCTATGGGCAGGGATATAAGCTCACCTGCATTTCCAGCAAAGGAAAATTTTCCAGGGTTTTTTTGCAGGAGAAAAAGAAGCCCCTTGACCTTGGTATAGGCTGTACAAGTGCAAAGTGAATTGTTTACTTTCTTTTCTTCTTACAGGATAGGGTGGAACCTACCTTTTCCAAGTAGGTCTGGGATAACAGGCCTACTTACCTTTTTCACTAGCATTCCTCCTGCCAGTTTGGCTTTTACATGGTTTCTTCATAGGTCTGTTCTGGAGTCACATTTTGCTGCTGGGATGATGCTGATACTTGATGGTAACAAGGTAACATGTTCATAGACATCACCAAACCTTATTCTTTTCACGTTTGTAGGTTCATTAGAAGTAAAGGGCAACATCTAGTCTGGCCTGGTTTAGTCTGATGGTCTAAATAGATTGGTTTTGTATCCCCACTTTGGGTGGAGTAGAAGTGTATCAGTTAACCAAATTTTAAGATTCTATTCTAGGGCTTAAGAAAAATATTTTGTAGGACTTTTTTAAAAAATGTTGATTCCTTTGCTATTATTGTTGGGATCTCTCTGTAATACAGAGGTCTTCCTTCAATGGGAACACACTTGCTTTAGAAATGTGATTCAGCTCCTGTTGTCCCTTTTGTCATTTGATCTCTTACAGTAGTCATCTAGAGATTTTCAAATATTGAAGTGTTAATGGCACATCCTCCATATAGATGTAGACTTAAATTTTCTCATAAATTCTTGCAGGTCTTAGAATATGACTTTTGTTTTTAAGTATTTCACTAAATTCCTGCATCAGCACAGTGATTTTTGTTATTCAACCAGAACACAACTTCAAGAGGAAAAGGTGACAGTTAAATTTATATTTTGCAATTTTGGACATCTGAATGAAGGCCCTTTATGTCCATTTGTGTGTTGTACTGCCTTTGCATGTTGTATTCCAAAATTTTCTATACCAGATTTCCTGGTGGTACTTATTTTAAGTCTCCCCATAACTTGCTTTATGGCAAGGTCGCCACTGACCTCCTCCAATCTGTGTATTCTGGACCAGAAGATTCTTTCACTACTCTTCAGCTCTTCTGCACACATTTGTCAAAACTAGTGCTGACTCTGACCTCTTGATGCAGTCTATTAATTCTGTATACCAGCTCCCTGTGATGACGATTGTTCTCCTGTGGCCCCTCCAAAGCTCACATAATCCTCTTGAGCCCATAGTATTGCAGTTAGAATTCATGTCTTGTCCGTAAGCTGGTGATGAATTTTCGTTTTTTCCAGGAGGTCTCCTGACATCCTGCAAATGTAATGAGTGTTTTCCCTCAAAATATCTGTCTGCTTAAAGGATCATGTCATTTAACTACACTTAGGTTATCATGCAAACCTGCTACCTTTGCTAGACGTGCTTCTATTTACTTGCCATCTCACTTACCATTACAATCTGCAAACTACTGACAAAGTTATGTTTGATGCTGTTGTTTACATCTGATTTTTACTCACTGCCATAAGGCTGTCTTCGCCTTCTTCCCCTGCTTAGGACATTGAATTTCATTGTTGTCTTCTAGTCCTCTCCTTACTGAAGATGGTTTTCCAGTCAAAGTAAGATTTTGAAGAGTTTTGGTAATTGGAGATCTTGTTCCTTAAGCTCAGTTATTCAGTTATTGGACAGTTCTCAGGTTTCACTCATGATCCTTGGTTGAAACATTTTCTCACAATCAACCTGGTTTATGACTACTTTTAGCTGTGGGAAGCTAGCCCTTCAGAGTGCCAAACACATGATGCTATTTTGTGTTCTGATTCCCTTGCCTAGAGGCATCTGATCAGTCTGTGATGCAGTTATTTTGTGTCTATGCATGCTTACCTTGAGGTCAGCCAGACATCTCTTCTTTCATTACTGTGCAATCTTACATCTTCATTACTATTTGACTAGCAGGACCTCCTGCTTCTTCATCTTTTGTTGAAATGTGAGTGCAGAACCTGCCAGAGCCTTTCACTAGTAATGGATGGCAGTAGTGAGAACAGCTGTGTGTGGTGTGACCAAGCAGACTATCAGGCTGGTGGCAGAGCTATGAGGGGAAGTATAAAGGTTAAAGAGCATCAATGAGTTTGAGAAAGAAATAGATTGGTGAAACCATGTTCTGCCCTCCTTGAGACAGAAACAGGAACAGCCACCAGAAAAGAAAAGGATCAAGAAGATCCTGTATCCTCCCTCTGCTTGGGGCGGCAGACAAACCCGCTTTTTGCCTACTTCACCTTCCCTAGTGCCTCTGTACAACAAGTATGAAGCTCTGGATGTGGAAGGTCAGTCACTGGATGATGTGGATGATGGTTCATCTACACCAGTGGTGTTGCCAAGGTCAAAAAGCCCTACCTGCAGCTATCATGACCACCTTGATGAGGAAAAAAGGATGGGCTGTAGTTGTAGGTGACTCCTTTCTGAGGGGAACAGAGTGTCTGATATGCTGGACAGATCCACCTCTTAGGGATCTCCTGCCTCCACTGCCCTCAGCCTATTGCTCTGAGACATGCTGGGTACACTGGAGCACACTTCAAGTCTTACAGAGATAAGCCAGGAGCTCCTGAGGCAACAAAATTCAACGGGGGAACATTGATGCAATATCTCAAAGACATTATGGTATTTTCCTCTAAGAACGCGACACAGCTGAAGTGCCTCTACGCCAATGCATGCAGCAAACAGTAGAAGTTAGAAGCCTGCTGGGGCACTTCAGTCACCCTGACATCTTCTTGAAAAGTAGCACAGCGAGCTGTAGGCAATCCAGGAGACTCATGGAGTGCATTGAGGATAACTTCTTAAGCCAGGTAATAGACAGCCCTGCCAGAGGGGATGTGATACTGGACCTGATGGTCACCAGTGCAAGCGAGCTCATTGGTGACATCAAGACTAGAGGCAGCCTGGGCTGCAGTGATCGTGCACTGGTGGAGTTCTCAGTCCTGGCAGGTATGGGTCAGGCAAAGAGTAAAGTCAAGACCCTGAATTTTAGGAAAGCAAAATTCCAGCTCTTCAACGTGTTTTTCAATAGGACCTCCTGGGAAACTGCCTTCAGGTACAAGGGAGCAGAACAGAGCTGGCAGATCTTTAAGGATGCTTTTCATAGAGTGCAAGAGCTCTCGATCCCCAGGTGTAAGAAATTGGGAAAGAAAGGCAAGAGACTGGCATGGCTGAGTTGAGACCTGCTGGTTACACTAAAGGGCAAGAAGGAAATGCACAGGCAGTGGAAGCAGGGATGGGTATCCTGGGAGGTGTATAGGGGTGCTGACTAGTTGTGTGGGGATGGGGTCAGGAAAGCCAAGGCGGGGCTGGATCTGTGCTTGGCAAGGGACACAGCGAATAGTAAGGGTTTCTATAGGTATGTCAGCCAGAAAAGGACAGTCAAAGAAGGTGTACCCTCCCTGATGAACATGCCTGCCAAACTGGTAATAACACATGAGGAGAAGGCTGAGGTACTTAGCAACTTTCTTTTCTCAGTCTTCACTGGCAACCTATCTTGCCTCACCTCTTGAATGGATGGTCCGCAAGGCAGGGTCTGGGAGAACAAAATCTCTCCCACTGTAAGAGAAGATCAGGTTCGTCACCACCCAAGGAACCTGAACATACATAAATCTATGGGACCTCATGAGATGGATCCCAGAGTGCTGAGGGAATTGGGTGATGTATTTGCGAAGCCACTCTCCATGATACTTGAAAAGTCATGACTGTCAGGTGAAGTCCCTGGTGACTGGAAAACGGGAAGCATTCACTCATTTTTTAAAGGAGGGTAGAAAGGAGGACCCTGGGCACTACCAACCTGTCAGCCTCACTTCTGTGACGAAATCTCTGTGAAAGACTGTGGAAGAGATCCTCCTACAAGCTCTGCTAAGGCACACGGAGGCCAGGGAGGTGATTCAAGACAGCCAGCATGGCTTCATGAAGGGCAAGTCTTTCCTGACCAACCTAGTGGCCTTCTATGATGGAGTGACAAGTGGACAAGAGAAGAGCTATGGATGTCGTCTATCTGGACTTCTGTAATGTCTTTGACACAGTCCCCTACAACGTCCTTCTCTCTAAATTGGAAAGATAAGGATTTGGTGGATGGATTGTTCAGCGGATAAGGAATTGGCTGGATGATCACATCCAGAGAGGAGTGGTCAATGGCTCAATGTTGAGACAGAGATCAGTGATGTGGTGTCCCTCAGGGATCCATATTGGGACCAGTACTGTGTCATATATCTTCATCAGTGATTTAGACAGTGGGATTGAGTGCACCCTCAGCAAGTTTGCAGATGACACCAAGCTGAGTGGTGCAGCTAACACACCTGAGGGACAATATGCCATTGGGAGGGACCTGGTCAAGCTCAAGAAGTAGGCCCATGTGAACATCATG